TTCAAAAGTGGTGGTTGAAGCCATGAATAAGACTACCCAGGATAGTGGGAAGTATTAGAGGAGAGGCAGGCCATTGACACCCCCTAGGTAATAGCATTATTTAAGGAGAGCAGAGGAGAGGAGAGGTAGGTGCTCAGAGGAAGAAGAATCTGGGTATAGCCATTTTTTTTTTTTTCTTACAATGACTTACAATGTCTAACCTTCCCCTCTGGATTATAAACTCTTTAAATACAGGGACTGTGTAAACTTTAATAGGTCCCTCAAACAAGAGTACATTGATTCACAGTCTGTGAATAATCAGTGAATTCCTGCCAGGATTCTGCTTTGCAGAAATCCAATGTGATCAAAGCTACTAGCAAGATGTTCCCCCCAAAACTTACATAATTTCCCAATGGACAGTATGGCAGATTAAAAATAAGTGAATAAATAAAGGGGATCATGTATAATCCACTGATATCCATGCTAATCACATTAACCACAGTGAATTAATTATACCTGAAAACAGATGCAAAGTTAAATTCCTTAGAAAATCAATTCATTAAACTCATATTGGAATGCACAGTCAACAACCCCATGTTTAGAAACTATCAGCAATGATTTGTGGCAAGTTCTGATTTACTAAAGAAACTGCTTAAAATATTTTTAAAGGCAATTACAATTACTGTCTGGCGTTTGATGGAAAGAAATATCGTCAGCATCGTCCCTCGTGTGTCAACTGTCACAATTTTCTAAAATTTTTGAGGCAAAAAATAGGCAGGCTCTACTATTTGCTAGCCTCGATTAGGGTTAATTCAATGTGTGTCTGCAAATAATAGTGTTTAATGTAATCTCTCTAATTACAGATAAAATGCATTTTCAGTCATGCTCATCACTGACAGTATTTTGGGATAAGTTAAACTGACAGCTGCTTTCTAAAGGAAAGGAAAAAACAAACCTTGCTTGAGGTTGTGCTAATTTTCACTCTATCTTTTTTTTTTTTTTGCATTGAAGTTCAGAAAAATATGAAACTAGACACTTTGGCTCTAGATAGATACCAACTTTGGAAATCATGACATAGTCTATCTCTTGAGAATTTGGTATGTTTCCCATCTCCCACCCCCATCAATAAATATTAACTTGAATTTACTCAACAAGCATTTTCTAAGGGTTTCAGGGAACCAAGCATTATGCTAGGCCAGTGGTTCTCAACCTTCCTAATGCCATGACTCTTTAATACAGTTCCTCATGTTGTGGTGACCCCCAACCATAAAATTATTTTCGATGCTACTTCGTAACTGTAATTTTGCTACTGTTATGAATCGTAATGTAAATATCTGATATGCAGGATGTATTTTCATTGTTACAAATTGAACATAATTAAAGCATAGTGATTAATCAAGAAAACAATATGTAATTATATATGTGCTTTCCAATGGTCTTAGGTGACCCCTACGAAAGAGTCATTCGACCCCCAAAGGGGTCGCGATCCACAGGTTAAGAACCGCTGTGCTAGGCACTTAAGAGATTGAGAAAGAATGATTCTACCAAAACTGCCCTCTACAATTGGCCCCATGAGCAAGTCAAGCTTCCTACTATACTAGACATATTAGTCACAGCGACAATATAATCACAGCCCCTACAAACAGAAACTATTCAAGTTATAATATTTTCCGAAGGGTCAATGCATGTTCTTCCTCAATCACAGCTGATTGGACCAGCCATGACCCCAGGGCACCAAATCCACAGATTGTTCAGGGATCTCACTTGGCCTGGCATGAAAAATTGAGCTGGACCGATTACATTTTCTCTCTCAGGAATAGGAATTGGAAAATACTGAATAAGGTGGTGAGTGGCAAAAGTGAAATTAGATAGTGATAAGAGAAGAACCACAAAACAGAGAGAATTACGACCATGAGGGGGCAGGCTGCATCTGGTCTATGAGGTTACGAAGAAGCAGAAAAACAGGACCTAGTCCAAAGGTGAATGAATCAAGGAATTAATAAATGAACAAATAATTGTGACCCAAGTGTCTTTGAGTTTTGTTTTTTTGTTTGGTTGGTTTTTTGTTTTTTTTTTTGGTAGGCTCAAAATATGACTGATTCGCACTGAGTCATTATCCTTAATACTCCTGGCACTTTAAAAAAACAACAACAAAAAAACCTATGCTGCATATGGGCTGTTTTTCTTATGTCCTGTGTATCTTAGTTGGGATTTTAGTTCAGCTTTCAATAATGGAAACACTCTAAATAACAGTGATTTAAACAAGGAGTTTCTTTCTCATGAAAAGTTTAATATAAGAAACCCAAGACTTAAAGGGGTAGCTCTTCTCCACAAAACTCAGGGACCTGGATTCCTTCCAAATTATTTTTCCGCAGTTCCTAGAGGAGGTACCCTTATCTCTATAGTCTAAGTAGCATTCATGTTCCAGATAGAAGATGGAGAGGGAAGAGTAAGAATAGGTGAATGACACCAGGTAGATAGGTTTCTAGAACTTGGGAAAGTCTTATGTATGATTTTGAGGTGGAAATTAAGGAAAGATCCAAGTTGTACTTCCAGAAATAGGGATGATACCAGAAAGAAGTACAGCAAGACAGTTCATTAACAGAGCTAAGCAAACAGAAGTGGCACCTCAAAGCCAGGGCTAATGTAAAAATTGGCAGAATTTGAAGATATCGCGAGGAGGTCTTTGGACCTCCCTATTTGTGGAATAGGGAGTTCAAAACAATCCTTCTAGATCCTAAAGAACAGAGGCCTCAGCTAATGTGAGTTACAGTATAAATCAGGCATAGTCCAAGACCAGGGCTATCACGAGCCATCCTAAAATATCACCTATCATGATACTACTCTTGATTCTTCTCCAAGTTGAAATTTCTACCCACAGAGACACTTTTTGGGGCCAGGCAATAATAATGTCTCTAGAAGTCTGCTGTCAGATGCCACCTGGAAGGAGAGAGGTATATAGGACATAGTACCCAGATGACAATGTCACTTATATCCCACCCCTGGCTGCACGGAAGTATGAGAGAAACATGTTTATCCTGAGTGGCCATGTGTGTCCTGAGTGGCCATGTGTGTGGCCAAATATTCTATTTCTACGTAAAAAAGGCATGGCAGCTTTTTGTAAAGTTAAACCTACCCAGTGATTCTACTCCTATGTATTTACTCTAAAGAAATGAAACATGTTCGCACAAAGACTGTAGGTGTCTCAGTTTTGCAAGATGAAGAGTTCTGAAGATTGGTTAACATTGGTGAATGTGTTCGACATCCCTGAACCATATACTTAAAAATGGTGAAGCCGAAGCCGGTTTGGCTCAGTGGATAGAGCGTCGGCCTGCAGACTCAAGGGTCCCAGGTTCGATTCCGGTCAAGGGCATGTACCTGGGTTGCGGGCACATCCCCAGTGGGAGATGTGCAGGAGGCAGCTGATCGATGTTTCTAACTCTCTATCTCTCTCCCTTCCTCTCTGTAAAAAATCAATAAAATATATTTAAAAAATAAATGGTGAAGATGGTGTTATGTGTATTTTACCACAATTTTTTTTTAAAAATATATTTTATTGATTTTTTACAGAGAGGATGGGAGAGGGATAGAGAGTTAGAAACATTGATGAGAGAGAAACATTGATCAGCTGCCTCCTGCACACCCCCACTGGGAATGTGCCCGCAACTAAGGTACATGCCCTTGACCGGAATCGAACCCGGGACCCTTCAGTCCACAGGCCGACGCTCCATCCACTGAGCCAAACCAGTCAGGGCAACACAATTTTTAATATATTTTAAAATTTGATTTCAGAGAGATAGAAACATCAACGATGAGAGAGAATCATTGATTGGCTGCCACCTACACACCCCCTATTGGTAATTGAGCCTGCAAACTGGGCCACGTGCCCTGACTGGGAATCGAACCATGACTTCCTGGTTCATAGGTCGACACAACCACTGAGCCACCGTGGCTGGACTTACCACAATTTTTAAAGAAGTCAACATTTAGTGTCTTGTATTATCTTTGTGTATTTAACTTATGAAAATTCAACTACAGGCAAGTACCCCTTATTTAGTCCCGACCTTCTTGCCTCTCTACCCATTCAAAACCAAACTTTTGCCCCTAGCGTCCTTTCTTTTTCTTTTTGCCAAGCCCCTATATTTAAATTCATATGCAAGATGATGCTTCATTATCTCTCATTTTTTCTTACTGATCACATCTTATTGCTGAGGAAATGAAAGTACTGCTGAGCAGCAGAAAGATGTTTTGTTTGGCTTTTAGGCCACACATGGCACTTAGATGTCACAGAAAATGCTTTATGCATAAACGGATGAAGTAAATCACGAGAGCTCTACATTTCTCTTTTCGAACCATCAAAACACAGAAAAATGTGTTTGCACTAACTCAGTATGTGCTGTGTGGGGTAGAGTTGAATGAAAGTTGCATTTGCGTGGCCCACAGAGAGGGGTGTCTAGCAATGTAGTAGTAATGGCTCCCGCAAAAAGGCAGAGTACCAATCGATCTTTGAGAACTCTAACCTTATTCTTGTAAATTCTGATTCACAAACAATTGATATCCCATCATCTTGATATGGAAACACATCCTCCATACCCCTAAAGAATACACTTAGACAATAAATTGTTAGCTCCATTTAAGTTATGTACAATTGAAACAAAAAAACAGTTTCATACAACTGTGCATTTGTATCTCCTCAAAGCACCCAACAGTGCTTTGCCTGCAGGAAATAGTCAATAAATGGTTATCGAATTTAGACCGTTCTTCTTCCCAATCAGTGAGGTTTAATATATTTCCAATTGGAATGTCTATTAATTTTTCAGCATTAGTAAGCCTTTTAAAAAAATCAATTTGGGGATGTATTTAAGAGTTCACAGCAAATGCTAGTATATAGATGATTAAGGAAATACTGGTAAATGAAGCATGCTTATTCAACACACCAGTAGCCACTGATAAAATGTAATTTAATTTAATCATTTAAATTTACATTGTTAATGTACAAGAGCATTAATTTCAAACCACAGGTTAACACATACTAAAGAGCAACGCTGTTTGAGGAGCAGAGGACCTCTGGAAAACTCTGCTGTCTGAAACGAAAGCAAGGCACTCTCCACTAACAGCTGGTGGATTCCTGACTTCCGCCCACAGGAGGCCTGTTCACGCCGAGAGAGAGCTCTTTCCCAAGGGAGGAATCACCTGCTTTAATTCTTGCTGTCCTCTTCTGAGCTAGTTCGGTCATCCACTCTGTATACACTTGTGTGTCCACATGAAGACAAAAAAAGAGACTTGAATTGATAGATGGTGTGGGAGCCTCCCAAGGCTCTCATAGTTGCAATGACTATGGAAGACAGAAGAACACTGGCTATAATCTTTATTTTCAGCACTAAGTGTCTGGGCATATCACTAAAAATCTTCTTCATTGCTTCCAACCAATCGATACTACGGTTAAAAGGTCTTTTTCCTTAAATCTGATGGGTGTAAAAATAAAAAGTAACAGCATTTCTCTAGAGCTCTGTGTGTGTGTTTTTTTTCTTTTCTTTTTCAGACATGACAAAAAAACAAGGACTGACTTTCCAATACTAATGGTGCACGAAAGGATTATGTATGCACAGTACTTCTAACTCATTCAAATTCAACTTGAATTTGGTCTGAAGCTACCTTATATGAAATGTTAGCTTTCCTGATATTGAATAATGTTTATTATGTTCGCATATAAGCTGAAAAAATTAATGCAAAAGTACTACTTTACTCATGGTTATTATTAGGTAAAATGTAAGTATTTCTGGTTAGTTTAAAAAGCCTGTTTTCCTATAGATGCAGTAAGTTGAGTAAAAAGACTATGGAAAAGAGACTTAGGTCCTAGACTTGATTCTGGTACTAGCTCTTTGACCTGGGTAACTCTTTACCCTTTGCTGGGTCTGTTTTCTCCTCTGTGAATTTTGGGGTTGGGTGGACTAGCTGACAAGTCAGGCCCCTTCCAAGTTTTAACATTCCAAGATCCTAACATTCCAGATGCTATCATCTTGATATAAAAATAATAATCTTTCATAAAAGCTCACACAAACATAATATATGATCAACTATCAGAATGACTCTTGGAAAAAAAACATATACGGTTTGCTGTCTGGGTTCCTCTTTGCAGCAGTTAGGCAATTCATTTGGCATTTGTTTGATTGTATAATTTAATGACAATATAAACAGCATAGTTTTGTTACTTTTCCTTTAAAAAGCAAAAATGACTCAGAGCTAACAAAAACTACTGTGACATCAGTTTGACATTCAAAGTTTGTTTCTTAGCAAAATGGCCAAACATATTTTGACTTGATACAGAATATATAATATAAAGACTTTTAGACCTAGAAATCTTCAAACATTATATTTGAATTTAGCAAAACATAAGCAAAATTTTAATATCAAAGTGCTAAACAGTACTGCCTTAAAAGTCACTGCAAATGAACCATAAAATAACTGCATGGGAAGTAACATTTATTGTACAAATGGTTAATAAAAAGACACATTATAAATATATATATGTAACCTATATTTATATATATTTGCTTATTTAATTTCTAGTTGGCGTATCCAAGTCACTGTGAACACCCCATTTAAGTACTCTGTAACTCAGCTTCCAGGAGCTGGTGGTCTTGCAATAAATACAGGCAAAGCTATTACAATATAACGTGCATACAAATGTTTATACAAATAAGAACACTATGCAACAAATTATCTCATAGTAATATGGCATTAACAGTATAAACATACAAAAGGGAGTACGAACACGGAATGTTGAAACGCAGCCCATTAATCCTTCCTAGTACTCACATTCATACTACTTTTTAAAAAATAAGACTTGCTTACTCTCCATAATTGTCTCTGTAACTGATAACAAAAATTAAATTGTATATATTAAAAACCTTATTACCCCTGGTGTGTACCCTGTATGATCCAGTTCCTATTTTTTGCATGTTCTTACCTAGGAACCAAACACTTGAGATTCACTAAACGCGGCTGGGCTTCTGCGTGACTGTGTCAGTCAGTTGCTATAACTGAAGGAAGTTTAGGAAACTCTGGATGGGTTGATAGAACACAACCAAAACAGTTGTACGTAATCCATCTTATAACCTGAGCCCCCTTCGGGACAGCTGGACAGTCAGGGCAGGGATCTGGATCCGTAAGAATGGCCCGAAATCTTGGATGGACCATACCTCAGAAGGGGTCTATAGGGCAGGTGGACAAAAACCTGTGCTAGGAAATTAGCACTTGTCCTTTGCTAACTTGCCTCCTTTTTATTTCTGTATAAAATAAAGGAGAGTTAATAGACAAGACTTAGTAAGACAGCAGTTTAAAAATTGCACTTGTATATGGAAGCGAACAGCCATTATCATTTTGCTATGTCTGATTGATAGGTTATCGTCCATCTTTCACCATTTGTTAAAATAAAGGAAGAAAGAAATTAAGACGAGGGAATTTCTGCCTTGTTTGCACCACATACGTACCCTTGATACAGGAAGTATATTCTAAAAGCGATCAGCTCAAGACAGGTCCTACCCCGGCGAACAACCTGTGGCTGTTCTTGTTTTTAAATACAAAGCAACTATAATTGTCTTCCCCAGAAACAGTTTTCAAACAGTTATATTATCCTTTTTTGTTTTCCCCCTGCTGGGATAGCATCATCCAAAAGTGCTTGGTTAGCAGTTTCTTAGAAAACCCTCATGAACTATAACCCCCCTCCCCACCCCAAACCCAAGCCTAAATATAAAACACAACCCCAACACAATACTCTGCAAGTTTTCTGGCTTTAGGTTGTAAGGAAAAGTGCCAGAAAAAAAAAAAAAAGTCTTTCATTTTGTCAGGAGCTGCTTTTTCTCTTAAGGAAGGACAGGAATGGTAGGTGTCCAGACCCCTCCCTCTGCTGCGTAGCAAGCAGGCGCTAGCAGATGAGGCGGCTCCCTGCTCAGGCTCCTCCTCCTCAGAAAGGCAGGGTGTCCAGGAAGAGCTTGTCGATGATGGAAGGTGGAGACACCAAGTCTTCCAGCTTCAGGTAGAAGATGCGCTGGAGACCCAGGGTGCAGATCTTCCGCAGTTCTACCAGGGCGCCCAGGACCTTGGGCTCCGTGGGCTCCAAGGCCTGCCCCTTACTCTGGTGGTCTTTTAAGCTGCTCGTGATCTTGTTGCATAGCTCTTCCACTCTCTTTGGTTCTTTCAACCCATGTCGTTCTGCAGAGGCATAGAAAAGGACGCGTTTAGGAGGCAGTTCCATCTTAAGAAACTGTGAATCCCTAAGCAAGGCCTGTGTCCGGTTCTGCCAGTTGAGATGGCATTTTACAAAGTGCCCTCCCTCTTAGAGGTCGTTCTTTGAATCCCAGTCTGTCACTCACTGTGTGCCCTTGAATAAGTCCCTTAACCTTTCAGCCCTGGTTTCCTTATAATATGAAGATGATAACATACCTAATTCAGGGTTTCTGGGAAGACCTTGGCCCCAGTTATCTCAGTCAAAGTTTTCATCTCTCAGTACATTTACATGTAAAATAATAATTTGTGAGAGATGAAAAACATCCATCCAGTTGGAAATCATGTTTGAGTTTCTAATTTTCCCAACATTAATGTTTTTAGTTGGGAATATTTTTGTTACAAAAGTTACTTTCTTAAAGCATAAGTCATCAGAAAAATGAAGCAACTCTCCAGACATTTTTTTTTCTTCCTCTCTTGCCCTAAATTAAAGGAGGCCTGGGGACCAGGAGATCTGCCTTCTTCCCCAGCTTGGCTAGTCGTGTTTGAGTTTTTCCCTTTCTAGGGCCCATCTTAAAAGGAGGAGGTTGGGCTTAATGACCTCTAAGGTCCCTTCCAGCTTTGAGGTGTTAAAATTATATTCAGGTCCAACCATGGACATTGCCAGCAGCATCTCAATGGATTGTAAATCTAAGACAATGCCTGACATGTGACAAATGATATAGTCAAAAACAAAACAAAACAAAACAATAAGTCCCCTAATTCCCAAGCTTTGCAGTGTATAATTTTGCTTTCTCCAGGAAACTAGCAAATCAGTTGAGAGGCAAATCTGTCCCCATGGTTTACCTTTACTCAATACATGCACTCAAGAGTGAACTTCAAGAGTAATCCAGCCTGCAATAGTGTTCTGCCTAAAAGTTTTATTTGCCCTCCAAAGCAAAAAAAAACAAAAAACACAAAATAAAAACAAAAACAGTGTGCAAATTTGGCATTATATTTCAAGAGCTATAACATGTTCGTTGCCTCTGACCAAGTAATCCCACTCACGGGAATTTATCTGAAAGAAAAACTCAACAGAATAAAACTGTATGCATGAAGATATTTTGGATAAGAATTATCTATTTTAAAAACTAGGAAAAGATAAAGGGTGGAAGAACAGAGGAACCATTAAGTAAAAAATAGTATGTCCACGTAATGGAAGGTTCTATAGACATCAGAAAGGACAAATGCTAACGTTATGAAGCAACATGGAAAAATACATAACAGCACATTAGAAAGAGAAAAGAATATGAAATGGTCTCTAAGATGTGATTACATCTATGTAAAAATTTCTTTTCCGAGGAAAAGAAAAATTTCTTCATCTAGAGAAGTATGAAAGAAAACGAAAAAGTGAAAATATTTATGAGATTGTCAGATAACTCTTACCTTTTTTTTTTTTTTTTTTTAAATTTCCAGGCTAATGTTATTTGTCTAACAAACAATGTTAAAGTAGAACAAACGGGGATTCGATCCTTTGTGAAGCCCTCTCCTAGCTGCATCCTGATCACACAATCATCTTGCTGACAGTACATTCTATTAATACTGAGCCGTCTCAGATTAGGTTCAGAGCCCAGAGAGAGGTGCTTCTCCCAGAATAAAATACCAACCCATTGATTTAAGCTTTCCTTTTCCACGCCTCATGTCTTGAATTATATTCAAAATACCATATTCATAAAGAAACTGAGCGATGTTGATGGCTGGATTTCGGGAGAGAGTTGATTATGGAGCCCTGTAACTAGACTTTCTCATGGCCAAACTCACAAAAGGTGCCTCGGAGTTCTCCCTGCTCTCCAACCAGTGGTGACTGCTCAATAACTATGGCAACCATTATTTATTCAGTGAATTCAAGTGGAGATCGATACCTCCTGCCAGCTGGATCAGCCCTAGGCCTGGAATTCCTTGAGGAATTCAGACACTCCTGTTAGAAGCCAGAGGCACCTCCTTTGTTGTTCTGAACAGCTACTGGATTTGTGGCTTCTTTACTTTTTCAAAAGGGCTGAGACAAAATTCAGTCTCCATGCAAACTACTGCCAGCAGCCAGCAAGGTTTTCAAATCACTAGGGAGTCACTAAGTGTCTAGGCGCTTCCTAGTAATTTGAAATTCCTCAAAACCCCAATCACTGACATTTTAGCTTAAGGGACCCCCTTTCTTCTCGCAGCTTGGTAAACATGGCTGCAGAGCTGATATTCGGAGAGTTCACTAATTCAGGAGGAAATCAGACATTCAAATTTCCCCCTTCC